TTTTTTTTTTTTTTTTTTTGGAGACAGTACTCTTTTGCCAAGGCTGGTCACAAAGTTATGGGCTTAAGTGATCCTCCCAAGTAGATGCAACTCCAGGAATTAGCTACCATACCCAGCTCTTCCTATGTATTTTAAAATAACAAAATTTGATCCTCCTGCCTCTACCTCTTGAGTGCTAGGATCATGGATATATGTCACCACACCTGGTTTTACACAGTGCTGGGATAAAAACAAACAAACAAGGGATTTGTGCAACTAAGCAAGCACTAACTGTATTTTCAGCCCTCTCCTATATACTCTAAACCACTGCTGGATTATTCATTACCTAGTACAATATAAGTGCTATTTGCATAGTTGAATATTTCTGATCCTCCATTTGTTGAATTCACAGACGCAGAAAGCATGGATAGAGCTGACTGTAATAACAAAGGTGAGCAGTTGTTCAGTTGAGAAATGACAGCAGTGGGAATAGAGTGGTCAGCTATTTAAGACATGATGTAGAATGTTCCGGATTTATTTACAGGTTAGAAATGGAAAACATGTGAATGGTCAAAAAAGACAGTGATGGAACCTAAGTTTCTAACTTGGGACACTATATGAGGCATATTAATTAACAAGGAGCACACATTGGGAAAAAGAGGAGGTGACTATGAAACACCTCTGAGACAAGAAGTCAAGATTCCTTTCAAGTTAGGCCTTGAGAAGACTGGCTAGTCAAGAAATCAAAGAGTCACCAATATTTGAGTGCTAAATGACGCTTTTGGAGGGTAAGCAACGCTCATGGAATCAGTAGAGTATACACGAATGCTTATAATAGAACCAAGAAGGTCACTAAAAAGGAAAAGCAGAGAAACAGGCTGGAAAGGATACTAAGAAATCAGTGAGGGAGATACCATGATATCTATCCATCCACCCATTCACCCACCTATATTTTTAAAGAATCAGGAAAATGTGGTATGTCAGCAACAATAGGAAAGGCAGTATGAAATATACTAAAGATAAAGGTAAGAAAATATTAGTTATATAGGAGTTACATTAATTTTTTAATTTTTTAAAAAATGACTAGTGTGGGGTGGGATGGCACATGCCTTTAATCCCAGGCAAAGGACCAGCCCCGTCTACAGGTCAGCCAGGGTTACATAGTAAGACCCTGACTTAAAAACAAACAAAAAACTCTAGAAACAGGTCAGTCAGGGAAAAAGAACAATTTCAACTCAGGGAAAAAGAACAATTTCAACTCAAGGAAAATGAATATAGCAAGTTACTCAATCCTAATACCTGAACTAAACTGTTTAAATATTATTCTGGCCTAGTTGTTTTTATCATGGGATTAAAAAATAATTGAAAAAGTTACTAAAAATCTTCAGACCACTTATAAAATTTGAAAATCATTAGTATTGCTATAGACAATGTTGCAAAATTGAAAAGGGAATTTAAAGCAATCTAAATTCCAAAAGGGAATTTACCAAATTCTTAAGCATGCCTGGGATAAATAAGGTGATGAAACTGTGTTAAAAGTTTCATACATATAAATTACCCTTATTTTTAATGATGGCTGAGAACTTTTATGGAACTTTCATTCATCTACTATGTTAGATTAAAATTAAACAGAAATTTTATATGAAATATACAAAATTTCATATACATGAAAATGACATAAAACAAGCAATTCAAAATAATGCAAATTAATTCTCTGGACAACCACCCTCCCTGGCACTCACAATCATCCATTTCTGAAACAGGCACTTAAAAGCTGCTTTGCTAAAATGTACTGAAGCATCACTTGGGCCTACAAGTTGACCAATAACAGGCTAAAAGTCTAATATCTCTTTCTTCAATTTGTGTCTGTCACCTTGGCTGTACTGAAGACACAAGAGGTTATGTCACTGCCCTTAACCTTGCCTCTTGAGTCACCTTAGATTTCAGAAAGAAAGAAAGTTCACTGGACAGACCACCCTCCAGAAGAGGGTAATTATCTATGTGCTGAGGCCACACCCAGTAACAGAAGTAATCCTCTAGTAGGTGGCAGACAAAATCCTTTAGAAACCTCTTCACTTTCCCCTAGCAGGATGAGACCTAGGCTAAACAGACCACCTCTAGGAAAGCGGCTTAATTATTTGTACTTCTTACCCAGACTTTTCCTCTATTTAAAGCTAAAGTTCCTATCAGTACCCTAAAGATGGACTGGAATCTTTTATTTGTTCCTCTTTCTAATGTGGATACACTGAACAACTGGCTTTTTATCATTACTTATCTCTTTAATTGGTGTATTGGGGTTGGGTGGTGCAGCATAGTTTGTTGAGGCTTCCAGAGCCCAGCTTTCACCCTAAAAACTTCAGGACCATTTGTAGCACTGAATAAAACAATTTTAAGAGAGCTAATTATTTTCAACTTCTTCATCTACAAGGATGGCAGTAAGTTCAGGAAGATAAAATGACTTTACCAAAGTAACAATGCTAGCCAGTCCAATTTAGTATGACATCTCCCTGGTTCTCAAAAGCCATGGGTTTGCTCCAATATTGCAATGCGTCTTTTCTAATTAGAAACAGGCTGCTTTATTCCCCCATAGGAAGAACAAATAGCTTTGAAGGCTAGCACAATGCCTCACACTCTGCAAGCACTAGCCCTATAGTCATAGCAGAACTTTGAACTCAAAACACCAAAAAAAAAGATACTTAGGAAAAAAATCTACCTTTAAAAGGAATGGACTGGAGAAGACTATCTCATGCATACAAGTGTATTCAAACTTTTTCATGCACGTTAAGTGTACATAAACTTGCATATGTATAAAACCATTTTACATGTGTCTCTGGATTCTGATGTACTCTGGTACTACACCACCATACAACTCCAGACCTCTAACCTCACTCAATCCCAGGTCAGGCCAATTCTCCACACAGCTGTCAGATTTGTCGAAAGGATTTAATAGATCAACAGATCAGACAAAGCAGTTCATTAGAGACCTTCCAATGCTTGGCCTAACAGAGAATCTGTATGAGGCATGTCGGGCTTGGATATACGCACATACCCAGGTGAAACAAAATTTTAAGGTGTTTTTCAAAGAACTCACACTAGTACATTAAAAAAAAAAAAAAGGACCCACCTCCATTTTATTCTTTAGAAACTAGCTTTTTTTGTTATGCAAAGCTACCTAATGAGATTTTTTTTTTCAGTTTTGTAACTACAGGCTCGTTAGTTATTAAGTGGTTCTCACTGAATAAGTCGTAGACCTCGAAAATCACAAAAAACTCATGTCACAACTCAAATCATTAATGGAATCTGTCTCGGCTTGTCGGTGCAACTATGTTTGCACGTTCCCAATACCTACACCACTAGGGATAAATGCTGTGTCACTGGGAAGACAAGCAAAAGGTTTTGCTGGAACCTCAAAGAAACTATCAAAGGACGTCTCTACCCCTCCCCTCCCCACGAAAGCAGTCAGAAGGACTCCAGAGTCCTCTGCGTCCGCTAGACAGTTTCCGACCGGTGAGGGAGCCCCTCACCCGCACAGCGGGTCAAGGAAAAGCTGCAACCACTCGGGTTCACCTCTACGACCCAGGCGGTTTCTCACCATTTCCAGGGGGGCACCAGAACCGTCGGGGAGGCCACTGCCCAGGGCCGGGCTGGCCCTGCCCTCAGGGGTCTTCCGCTCGCTGTTGCGCTTCAGGCCGCTGGAGTCGCCCCGGCCTCCCGCCTCCCGGCGCCTCCGCCGCCGGCTCCACAGGTACATGGCCCCGGCGCCTAGCAACAGTGGCGCCCCGACGGCCAGCGCCACCTGCCATCGCGGCAGGGTCCCCGCTCCTGTGCCAGGGCCTGCAGTCCCGCCGCCGCCCACTCCACTCCCGGAGCCGGGCACAGCCGCCGCCACTTCCACGGGCTTAGAGGCGGCCATGCTGACAGTCCTCTGCCACCGCCGCCCCACGGGTCGCGGGCGCCACGGTCACCGGGGCAGCGGGGGAAGGAAGCCGGGAACTAGGAGGAAAGCAAGGCGCCACCGACCACGCCAGGCAGCTGCGGGGGACGACAGAGAAGGGCCAGAGGTCACCGGAAGCCCGGGGCATGCCGGGCGAGCCTGTGGCTGTGCCCGCCCCTCCCGAGCGTGGGGGGAGAATCATTTCCGGGGTCAGGGAAACCACGTGTAACCGGATTTCTGGGTAGCGTTTCCTTTTGCCTTACGGATTGGAACACTCCTGGGATTTCGGGCCTTGCGTAGTGGCCGACATCCCCTCTACCTCTAGGAGGCAAGGACCCACGGCCTGGTCTAGTGGAGCGAGGGAGCTGTGCGCAATGGGTTTGGGGTGCGCGGGTGTGCAGAGGGGACGGAGGGCGCCCCGGAGCATTAGGAATGGGCGAAAGTGTAGAAAGCGGTGAAGTTAATTGGTGGATAGAGGTGGTGGGCGGGGTGGAGGACAGGCTGCCTACCTGATTGGTAGGTTTTTAGACCAGGTTTGACTTTGGCGTTGGAGCCTGGACCTGGGTAGCACATAGCTCTATTAAAGACTAAAAAATGTGCGAGGACAGCCTGCTTGTGTAGCCCAGTTTCTTATGGCTGCAGTAGCCAGATTGTAGTTTGGATGAGTTTGAGGTTACAGGGGCAATGGCAGAGAGCAGTAACTACATGAACTCCAGAAAAGGTAGTTTGACTGTAACCGAAATGACGTGGGGAGGGCGTCCCTATGCTCTTCAGCTACATTAGTTATGAAAGTGATGATGGCTATGTTAGGAGACTTTCTGAGTGGGTAGAAATGAGACTCCTAGGGTTCTCACCCGCTTCCAGTCATCCAATGTGTATCTTAAGTTGGTTTCCACCTGACACCCACGCCCAGTCATCTTCCCCTGAGTTAGGGTTCCAAACAGCAGCAGTTTCCCCCCTCCCCAACAGGGACCTCACCTTGACCTTTAGAGTCAAGGGAAAAAAACTCTGCTGAGAAGCAGCCTGCCTCTCCTCTGATCTCCAAAGATAAGATAAGCAGATTCTACCTGTTAACCAGAGATTTTAGAAGCTGTTTATCACAACAAGCTTTTCTCTTATCTTAAGAGAGAAAAAGTAAACACTTCTAGACCCTAATCCTACTTGCTTTTCTTGCTTCCCCCTCCCTGATTTCTCCCTCAAACATTCCCCCTTCTACACCCTAAAGCCCTCATATATAAAGTCCCAGCTCACAGCCCGTGGGCGATCTTTCCCTTCCTTGCCCTCCACTGACATCTTTCCCTTCCCTGACATCCTTCCCTTCCCTGACATCTTTCCCTGACATCCTTCCCTTCCCTGACATCTTTCTCTTCCCCGAGGGAAAGGTGCCCCGTGCAAAATAAATCTGTATCCCGTTGAGAATTCCATCTGTGCCTCAGTGCCTCATCCACGCCGCTCGCTCCTGCCCGCTCTCTACCTATCACCCTGGAGCACATGTACCTATCACAGCACTCTTGTTTACTCACCTACATGCTTATTTACAGCAGCTTTCTTAAATATTCCTTTCTCGTTCCCAAAGTGTATTTTAATCCATCACAGCTCTGGCACATCCTTTATTTCCTGCTTGCACTTTGGGTCGGGTCTCTTAAAATATGAAAATCACCGGGCGTGGTGGCCACGCCTTTAGTCCCAGGACTTGGGAGGCAGGCAGGCGGATCTGTGAGTTCAAGGCTAGCCTGGTCTACATAGTAAGTTCAGGTCAGCTGGGACTACAGAGAGACCCTGTCTCAAAAAGAAAGAAAAAAAAAAAAGAAAGCTCCCTGTAAGGTGTTTGGAATCACATTATTTACAACAAGAAAAAAACAAGTATGAATAAAGAAACAACACAGACTATGGCTCTATTTCAGGTATAAGGGTTTGAAGACTCGTGTATTAAAAAATGATTATTTGGCTTTTAAGCCTCACAGGATGTTCAACATGACCGCACTATATGAAGATGCAGAGGAAGATAAGTGCTGCCAGAGTGGACTGATTAAAATAGAATGACTTAATTTGAGATTTGAGAGTCGTTACTTTCTTCTTGCTTCAGGTTGGTTCCCACTGGTGAAATGCTTCCAGACAATGTTTCTTAGCAACAAACCAAACCAAAGAATTAAAAACAATAGTGAAATTGAGTTAATCAAGTAGTGATTTCTGCAGGCACTCTTCTGATCTTAGAACTCCGAAAACCTAATCTTTTGCCCTATATTTTAACCTTGACTTTTGCAAAACCAAAAATATTTTTCCTTTTCAGAACTTTCCATTTCTCTATGATATCTTGGAGGATTGTAGGTTACTAACTGTAATAAACCAATGGACCAAAAAAGTGTATTTGACTTTTTTGCACTTTTGTTTTTGTGTGTATGTGTGCCACGGACCACATGTGGAACCTGTGGAGTCTGTTCTGTCCTTCCGCTGCATTTCTTCCCCACTATTACCATATTGCATAGCTGCTTGTTCTGGTATCTGCTACTCACGTTCATTTTGAATCCTTTAAGGATAGGAGCCATGTTCTACTCATCTTTGCATGCCTGCGTTTGTTACCAGGTTAGATATATGATGGGTGCTTGTTAGTTTATTCATCCACCAATACAAGGTCTGGAGCAGTTAATGCAGAATAAAAAGTTGATGAACTATTTAATGGACTGCTGCTTCTTCATTACTTATTAAACTTCTCTATTACATTATTAATACTCCAGTATTAAGTCTAGTGCCCACATTGCTGTCACTACTACTGAGGCAAGCTAGGAACTCGGTTACAAAGTACCCAGAACAGCTCATTTCCATCACGACCACCATCGTCATTGTTAATTCCAGACCTGACTATGCTGTGGGCCTGCCCTCATCTTCACTGCTGCAGCCCCTCCCAGTGGGATATGATTTGTATTTTGTATCTTATGATATGTAAAATCCTCCATTTTCCCCAGCTCTCATACTGTTAACTGTCTCCTGAACCTGGCCCTATTAAACTAGCATCAAATCATCAGTTGAGTAGGTGGTACTGCTTTACTTGTCAAGGGGAATGTCGTGTCATGATTCAATCAAGTGGCTGCTCATCCTGCTGTCAGAAGCAGCCTCTGCATTATCTGCAAGGAGCCATGTATAGTAACCCTAGTTCTCTCTCTTTCACTGTGACTGATAACTCATATATATAATTTATGCACTCATTTGCCAGCTTCTGCCCACTTACAGGTTTATAAGATCTTTTCATCCTTACTAGCTTAGTTCATTGCCACCCACAAGAATTTGGAAATGTAGAAATATTGCCTTGTACTTTATTATTATTTTGGGAAAATTTTTATTTTATTTATTTTGTTTGATTTGCATGTGTGTGCATGTATATGTGTGTGGGCACTTGTGTGCCGTTGCACATATGTGGAAGCCAGAGGACACTTGTAGAAGTAGTTTCTCTTCTTCCTCCATGTGGATCCTGGGGATGGAATTCAGATTGTCAGACTTGGCAGCAAGCATATATGTGGAAGGCAGCAGTCCACCTTGGGTATTATTCCTCTGAGCCATTCACCATATTTTTTGAGACACCATCCCTCTCTGAACCTTGAGCTCACCAATTCAATGTGATTGGCTAGGGGTCTGTGAGCCTTAGGGATCCTCTTGTCTCTTGCTTTGCCACCACTGAGATACAGGTAGCTTTTTATTAATACATGGGTGCCAAGGATCCAAACTTGGGTCCTCATGCACACACAGCAAGCACCTTACTGATTGAGCCATCTTAGCTCATACTGTGTTTTTAATTTGTCTTTACTTAATGGCTAATAGTGTTGAAAATCTCTTCATGAACTTATTTTCCATTTGTATATTTTTTCAGTGAAATACGTGTCTTTCATGCCTTTTACTTTTATTTATTTATTTATTTATTTATTTATTTATTTATTTAGTTAGTTAGTTAGTTAGTTAGTCTTTTTGAGACAGGATCTCCCTGTAGCCCTAACTCGCCTGGAACTTACTATGTAGACCAGGCTGGCCTTGAACTCACAGAGATTCACCTGCCTCTGCCTCCCAAGTGCTGGGATCCAAGACATATACTACCATACCAGGCTTTTCTTGTTTTCTAATTAAATTATTTGTTCTTTTTAAAGAAAATATTTTATTTGTTATTTTTATTTTACTCGTATAAGTGTATTGCCTGCATGTATGTGAGTGCACCCAGGTCCTGCAATGACCCGGAGGTCAGAAGAGGGCTTTGGATTCCCCTGGAACTGGAGTTAAGGACGGTTCATAGCCACCATGTGGGTGCTGGGAATCGAACCTGGGTTCTCTGCAAGAGCAGTCAGTGCTCTTAACCGCTGAGCCATCTCTCCAGCCCCATGTGTGTTAATTTTGTATCCTGCCATTTTGCCAAAGTATTTATCAGCTCAAAGAGTTTCCTAGTGGAGTCTTTTAACATCTCATGTACAAAATGATACCATGTGTACATAAGGATACTTTGACTTCTTCCTTTCACACCTGTATCCCTTTTATCTCCCACTTTTGTCTCATTACTCTAGCTAAGACTTCAAACTATATTGAATAGGAGTTGAGAGAGTAGACACCCTTGTCTTATTCCTGATCTTGGTGGAAGTGCTTTCAGATTTTCTCCACTTAACTTGATTTGGCCGTAGGTTATCATAGATAGCCTTTATTATATTAATATATATTGCCTCTATTCCTGGTCTCTTTGGAATTTTTATTATAAAGGGATATTAGATTTTGCCAAAGGGATTTTCTGCATCTATTGAGATGATAATGTGATTTCTGTTCTTTGAGTTCATTTATGTGATATATTACATTTATTGATTTGGAGCTTTAGAATGAAGCCACCTTTTTAATGTGTTCTTGAATTCAGTTTGCAAGCATTTTATTGAGAATTTTTGATGTATGTTCATTAGGAAGATTGGTCTGTAAATTTCTTTCTCTGTTGTATTTTTGTCTGGCTTTGGTATCACAGTAATACTGGCTTCTTAAAATGAGTTTGGAAAACTCCTTCCTTTTCAATTTTGTGTGATAATTGGAGAATAATTGGTGTTCATTCTTTTTTTAAAGGCCTGGTAGAATTATATAGAGAATCCCTTTGGACCTAGACTTTTTTTAGTTACAAGATTTTTTTTTCTTTTTGAAAAATCATTATTTATGGTGTGGGGAGGGCATGACCAGCACTTGGGGTGGTCAGAGGATCTCTCC